AATTCCTTGTTCCTTGGAGCTACGACGCCGACGAGCGTTTCTTGGTTCCATCGGACTTCGGAGTACAGAAGAAGAATCGCAAAAGAGCTGACCCAGAGAAGCACAGATTTCTCGCCGAGGCTGAGGACGAACAAGGGTCAGCTATCCAACTCCAGCGGGCTTTTGAAGCCCAAGATGAGCAGAGTTACATCGAGACTCAAGCTGAAGCTTTAGCTGCAGCCCAAGACGGCCATTTTGGCACGTCCAGCTCCCCTCCTCCTCTCTCGTCTCCTCCGACGTCGTCGTCGCCGTCTGTTGTCCCCCCTCCGCCTCCACCCCCCGTCTTGAGCGAGGCTCAGCTGGCCCGCATCGAGACCAACCGTGCTGAGGCCAGAGCCAGGCGCGCGGAGCGCGCCAGGCGGGCTCATGCACGTGGTGGCGTAAGTGGTGGATCCTCGTGAGGTCCCAAGCGCCACCCACTGGTTTGCCTCGTGGGACGAGCACGCAAGACAGCGAAGCCGAGCGTCGCATCATCACCTCCCCCCCCTCCTACCTCATCCACCCTCTCCCATTCTTACTCCGAGGAGGCCACGTAGACAGAAGATGGCCCGCCCCATCCGAGGGGTTCGATTCTACGAATCAGGCATCAATGCAAACTCTACGTTGTCCTTTCAGCATTGGCGTTTTATCGTCGTCGTCGTCGTTGCAGAATGCATGGCAGGAATGGGGCGAGGCGCACATCGCGAGCCAAAGTGTGACATGTTGCTCTCGCCTCGCGTGGTAGGAATTGGGCGAGGCGCACATCGCGGGCCAAAGTGTGACATGTTGCTCTCGCCTTGGCTCCGCGCGCACTTCTCCTCAAAATTGAGTTTCCGCATGAGAGCGGCGCACGTGTTCCGCCCGTCAATTCGCCGACGGGCGAGCGGACGAAACTGTCGCTCTCACCCAAGCACCGCGCAGATCTCACCTGAAAGTGGCGATCCCGCGTCGGCGGATAATTTTTGTTCGGTATTTTTCACTCGCCAGGGCGCGAGCGGGCGACTTGCCGCCATCGCCCTAGCTCCGTGCAGATTTCGCCAGGAAGTCGCATTCCCGCAAGGGCGCGGCGCATGTTTCGCTCGCCGGATCGCGTGAAAGCGGCAGCGGCAGCGGGGCCGCGCGAGAGCGGGCGAACTGCTGTCCTCGCCTAAGCGCCGCGCAGTTTATGCGTGATTGCCAGTGCTGTTTCGGAACGGCGCATGCTTCGTCCTCGCCGCGCTCATCGGACATTTTTCCGCCCGAGAGAAGGCTACATGGTACTCTCGCCGCAGCGCCGCGGAAGGGTTTGCTGAAGTTCCGCCCCCGCCGATTCGCGGCCCGCTTCCCCCTCCCCGCCAAGTCGTTGGAAGCGGGACCGCACGCGAGCGCCGTCTGCTCCCAAGGTGGGGACGTGTTCCAGTCCCGAGATCAAGTTGCGCCACACTCGATCATTCTGTTGTGGGAGGGACGGTGGGAATGGGCGGGGCCTGCTGACTCGTTCGGCCTGGCGACAGTTAGGAACTTTTGCTTAGCGTGTCGCGGCGGCGGCCCCGGCGACACGCTATGCCATGCGAGCGGATAGCGTGTCGCTCTGCCCCGCGGGGCGAGAAGCTCGGGAACGCTCGGGACGTGGACGCTTGGTGACCGGGAAATGGATAGCGTGTCGCGCCGAAACGTGGTGGGCCAAAACCCGCCGCGCCACACGCTATCCAGGAGTTCCCGACCGTGACCGGACCTCCTCCCCACTTCCTCCTCCCAGAGGGCGTGGAGATGTTGTGTGGACACCCTGAAGGCCAGGTCGCGGAGCTCCGTGGGGTCCGACCGGTCGATGCCCGGCGGGGCCCAGCCGAGGGACGGCATCTGGCGAGGACGGCGCGATCCCACCGCGGAGGCGAGCTGGGAGCACGCACGCGTCCTGCCGGACGCGAATGCGGGGGACCGGCAGGGCTTCGGGCTGCCCGTGCGGAGCTGGCACGGTTCCCTGGACTTCGGGGCGGATCCAGCCGTGGTGACGAGGCCCCCTCCCCCTGATCCAGAAGAGGTGGATGCCTAGACCCCCGACGTCATTTTGTTTTCATAGCGTCGACCCCCAAAGTCTCGACCCATTCCTCGGGACCGCTTTCTCATCCTGAATCGTTTTTTTACAGCCCCGAGGCCCAGTAAGGGCCCCAAAATCATGAAAATAGCGAAAACCTTCCGTCGTGATCTTTTCATGACTCGAGGGGGTCTGGGGTGGAGGAGGGGGAGGGGGAGGGGGAGGAGGAGGAGGAGGAGGAGGAGGAGGAGGAGGAGGAGGTGCGGAGCTCCAGACAGCCCTCACATGCGGCCCAGGCTGGCCTTGTCAGGGTCCCCCAGGGCAGGCAGGGACGGCCTCGGCACTCCCGCGCCGCCACGGGCGGTACAAGGTGGCGCTATGAGCCCCTAGGCTGGGGTGCCGAAACCGCCCGGGCTAAGCTAACTCCTTGGGGTCCACCAAAGCTGGGGCCCTCACGGGCTGGCGCGGGTGGGCCTGAGCCACCTCCCCTCCTCGGCAAGGGCCAGGCCCACCAGGTGGGGTCCGTCCGACCGGCCGTCCTCGCCGACGCCGCGCTCGCCTCAGTCCCCCCCAGGGGATGTCATCGTAAATGTCTCGGTGGCACTCGCGGAGGTACGCCAGGAAGTGATCACCCTCGAGGTCGCCCTCCTTCGGGTCCTCGAGCCGCGATGGCCCCGCCTCTCCGAGGGGCAGGGGGCCAGAAAAAGCAACAAAACAGACCCTCCACAGGGGCCGACTTGGGGGCGTTTCGATTGGTCGCTCTGCCCCATGGAGGGTCTGGCCTGCTTGACTCAATTCTGGCCCGCTGCCTCCCAGAACGGCGGGGCCACCGTGGTCCTCGAGAGCTCGCGCAGTGGCCTCCCAGCACCATGCCCTCACCGCAGCCACCTCTGGGCCGGCTCCGGCGCGTGCCAGCCGGTCGGCCACGCCGGCGAGCCAGGTCCGGGGTGGGCCGGCCACGCGCGCCTTGAGGTAGCACTCCAAGGGCGCAGCCCTGACGGGCACCACTCCACCGTCGTCTGCTCGGCGCCGCAGGCCAGCCGCGGCCCGAGGGCCGGGCCCTTCCGGGACGAGGGCCAGCGACCGGATGCACGCGAAGCGGCGGGTGTCCGCGTCGAGGCGGAGCTCCGCCAGCGCCTCCGCGACCGTTCCGAAGTAGAGGGCGTCGAAGAACCGCTGCGCGGCCGCAGCACTCCCGACGCACCTCGCGAGGAAGGGGGCATAGTCGGCCTTCACGTGGCCGCAGTAATACAGCAGATCGGACGCCGCCCCGAAGAACGCCTCCCAGGACGGCAGCGGCGGGGGGCCGTCTGGCCGACCCTCCTGGGGCGGGACGACAGCGAGCGCGCAGGGAGCTCGCGGGCCACCGGCCCAGGGCACGGCCGCGCGCGAAGACGCGCTGCTGGCCCTGCTCCTGCTCACCTGCCCCCCCCTTTGGAATCGGCATTTGTTCACCACCACCAGGCACCAGGAGGGCCTACTCACCATACACCATCGTGGGTCCCATGCAGGAGGGTCCATACACCATCGTGGGGCCCAGGATCGCCCTGGCCAGGGACAGGGGGTGGCACAGCTGGTGCGCGGCGCTCCCACAAGGGGTGCCCCAACCGCCGGGCGTTCGCTGACGGGACCGGCTAACGGGAGGACCAAACATGCGCCCTTCGTGCACCTCCTTTGGGCCCGCGGTGACAATTTAGGGGCCTGCTAGGGCCCCTGTACGGCGACTTCTCTGCAATCCTCGATCCCCCCCACGTCTACCCTGAGATCCGAGGACGCGAAACATTGCAACATGGTGAACAATCGCAAACAAAGCCCCACGTAAACCCAATCTTTCTGCGCGGTTTTCCAAGCTGGATCGATCTGTGAGGGCCCCAGGGCTCGAAGCCCAGCGCAAACGCCTGGCATGAAAAAGACGAGACGCCAGGATCTCAAGGTCTACTGCCCCCGCCCGTTGCCGTCCGCCCGACCCTCCAACAATGGGTCCTCCGAGCCTGGGGCAGCCCCCGCGCTGGCAGTTTAGAGGCCGTTTAGGGCCACTTTGCGTCGACTTTCCCGTAATTCTCAATTCCCCCCCACGTCTACTTCCAAACATCCGACGCTTTGTTTTTCAATACGGGATCTCTGGAAGTCCCGACCCTTTCCCCACGGCTGTTTCTGTCATCGCGAACCGTTTCTGACGTTCCTGGGGCCCCGTGAAGGCCCCCGGAGGCCAATAATGGAGAAACGCGTACTGTCGTGATTATCTGCGCGACGCGAGATGGTCTAAGATACGTCCCCCCCGTTGCCGTCCTCCTGGCCCTCCAGAGGGGTCCTGCGAGCCCGGGGCCGCATCCTCCTCCTCCTCCTCCTTCTTCTTCTTCTTCCTCCTCCTCCTCCTCCTCCCCCTCCTCCTCCTCCTCCTCCTCCTCTTCCTCCTCCTCCTCCTCCTCCTCCTCCTCCCTCCTCCTCTCCCCCTCCTCCTCCTTCCTCCTCCTCCTCCTCCTCTCTCCCTCTCCTCCTCCTCCTCCTCCTCCTCCTCCTCCTCCTCCTCCTCCTCCTCCTCCTCCTCCTCCTCCTCCTCCTCCTCCTCCTCCTCCTCCTCCTCCTCCTCCTCTCCTCCTCCTCCCTCCCTCCTCCTCCTCCTCCTCCTCCTCCTCCTCCTCCTCCTCCTCCTCCTCCTCCTCCTCCTCCTCCTCCTCCTCCTCCTCCTCCTCCTCCTCCTCCTCCTCCTCCTCCTCACGGCCTCACGGCTGGTGCACCGCGAGCGGCATCAAGAGCGGCGTGGAGTGCCCGAACCCGTACTGCGACTGCAAGAAGAACATCAAGGGTTCGTCGCAATTCTGTCGAGCGCGCGGCCACTCCCTCACTCGCAAACCCGCCAAGGAGGACGGGAGCCATTCTCTCGCCTACACAGACGGTGCCGCATGGCCATCCCTCGTGCCTCCCAAGCGAAAGGGAGGCAAGGGAGGCAAGAGAGGTGACGAGAACGATGACGAGAAAGGAACCAAAAGGAGAGGAAAGGGCGCAAACGGCCACAAGGGCGGGAAGGGGCCGCCTGCGTCGGATCCCCTGCCCCCAGGCCCGCTCGTCAAGATTACCTCTGCAAATGCCCAGGAGCTGGCCAACTTGGCCCAGGCTGCTGGGGACCCTGCGGGGGCGCAGCGGTACCTGGAGCTGGCCGCTGCGGGCAAAGCTGCAGAGCCGCAGGCACCGGCTGCCCGCCAGCGCTGGCAGAAGGCGGAGCAGGAGCACGCGGACATCACCCGCAAGCTGCAGAGCGAGATGGACAAGCTCGACCGCTGGCGAAAGTCGCAGGCGAACCTCATCAGCACAATCGCGGACGTCCAGCTCAAGATGGACGCCGCGGAGCATGAGGTCAAGACTGCTTTGGCCGAGATCCAGAGCGAGCACGCCGAGAGGGAGGCCAGCCAGCGGCAGAGTCAGCCTACCATCAGCATTCGTAAGCTGGTGGAGGGCGAGGTCCAGCTTGACAACATCCTCAGCATGGACGTCTTCCTGGGCACGGAGGCTGTTTTTGCTGATTACGATCTGGACCCTGGCGACAAGGATGAGCTCGAGCAGCGCAAGACCGACGTCGCCAAGCAGATCCAGGCCGGCCTGGCCCAAATGTTCACGGGGGCCTTGGACAAGGCCAAGGAGGCCATCGAGGCCCAGCGCAAGCACGTCTCGCGCTTGGAGGGGAAGAGGCGCAGGACGGGCACGGGAGCAGCAGTTCCTGGAGGAGGAGGACCACCTGAGGCCGCAGACGGCGCTCCTGGCGGAGTTGCTCCAGGGCCGCCAGCCGCGGCGGCAGCCGAGCCGGCGGAGGCTGCGCCTAAGGCTCCCAGCCTCCGCGAGCGCCTGGCGGCAGATCCTGATATTCGCAGCGCTGTTGAAAAACGGTCTGGTGTTTAGCAGAGCTACGAGGCTCCCGCTTGCCACAGAGGTGGTCGGCGGCCATGCTGCCGATGCCTCGCGAAGGGCTCCGTCAAAAATCAATGCGGCAAATTGCGGTACTCAGAGCAGGCGCCAGGTGCCTTCAGAGGGGCGCGGCGGCCATGCAGCCGACATCACGGAGAGGGCTGCCGGCACAGGGGGGGAGCGCAAAGTTGATCGCAGCGGTGCGTTCTTGGACCCCCTTTCTCCTGAGTGCGTCGACCTCACGGTGCAGGTTGAGTTGACGGATGTTGTTGGCTTGACGGCTCAAGATGATCACGGTCCAGCCGGGCACGATGACGACAAACCATCCTCAGCAATCTCGGTTTGCAGCTCTGATACAGGGGAGGTTGGCACCGGGGAATCCAGCCTTGGGCGTCAGACGTGCCCGCCGAAGGAGCTTGGTAGCCATGCGGCCGACTCCCAAAGCGAGACGAGGGCCAAGACGGGGCAGGCAAGCCTGCACGCTGAGCACACCATTCACTCAGGCTCAGCTCCGCGACGAGCTTCACGAGCAAGCGGAGATGTGCGAGGCCCCAAGACGTGGAAGCTTGCCACCGTCAAGGTGACCTCGGCGCAGGCGGAGGGACAAGAGATCTCAGCCGTGGGGCCCATGCTCGCACGCTGGGACTTCGACGGAATGGCCATCCAGGAACACAAAATCTTGCCGGGCAAGACGGACGACGTGGTCTCACGCCTGCGTCATGAGGGGTGGCACGCTGCTTTGCCGCCTGCAGAGCCTGGCAAGACGGTGCACTCTGCCTTCTCGGGCGTTGGCGTTGCAATGCGGTCTGACATTGCGATGGCCAGGCCACCAGCGCTGGGCGAGACCTCAGTGCGCCTCAGTCTACGAGATTCGTGGCGCAACTGTGCGAGGGCATGGTGCCTGGCGGTTTCTACTTCGCATCCTGCTACTTCTACTCGGGAACCGCGTCCTTGGCTGGCTTCGAGCTGTGGGGGGACCATTTGTCCTGGGGGCGGACTGGAACATGACCCCTCAGGAGTTGATCAAGCTTGGCGAGCTTCGCACTTTCCCTGCCACGATCGTCGCGCCTGACAGGTGGACGTGTACGGCGGGCAAAGGGAGAACCACCGACCATTCCCTCGTGTCCGACAGCGAAAGGGGCATGGTGAGGTTAATCTACCGCTTGGACGGGCTCCCCATCGCCACGCACCGGGGGGTTGGCCATCACGATTGACCGAGGACCTGGAGCGGCGCTGGTGCAAGAGATGTGTTTGCCCAGGCCCTAGCCCAAACAATGCCCCCTAGGTGCCCCGCTCCTCCCGCCCGGCTGCGACGGCGTCATGCACGAGACGGAGTTGGTCAGGGACTAAGAGGACCTGACCTGGGCATGCGCATTATGGGCCACGAATGCTGAGAAGGAGTTGGTGGACCGCTTTCAGCTCCCAGCATCCCAGACCAAGCAGCAACAGGGGCGTGGGGACCTCGACGCGCCCAGGATGAAGCTGGTTGCCGCTACCCGCAAGACGCCCAACCAGGCGGCGGAGGGAAGCCAGTTATCTCGTTGGTGGCAGAAGACGGGAGCTGCACGTATCGACCTCTCTATGGCCGTGGCCAAGGCGATAAACATCCAATCCAAATTCATCCAGGACAGGCTCAACACCATCAGAAAGCTCCGCAAGGTCAAGTACGCGGACGCCAAGTGGCAGACCTGGACGACAAGGGCCACAGCAGAATGGTGCCTGAGCGAGGACTGGATGAAGGACATGAGCTGGGTGGCTGTCAAAGAGGCCAATGCCATGTGGAGTCAAGGCGGCAAGGACGCGCTTCGCACAATGAAAGAAAGAGGTAGGGCAGCAGGTCATGCACAATATTAGCTCGGCGCATCGCTGGAGCAAGGCGCCGCAGCTTTGGGTCCCAGCCAAAGCTGATCACGAGGGCTATGGGATCGCGAGCCATGCTCAGCGGCTCCAGGAGGATCTTCAGTAGTGGAAGGGCGTGTGGGAATATGAAGAGGGCCATGCCTGCTTCTGCGACTGCGCGTTCGACTTCGGAGACGAGGAGGCCCCACCTGTGGCCACGCCAGCTATGATCCAAACGGCGGCGAAGACTTTCAGTCCCAAGACCGCCTCAGGGATCGACCGGTGGGGGCCAAGGTCCTTCCTTATGTTCTCTGATGCTTCCCTTGATGCTTTCGCGCACGTCATGGACCAAGCCGAGCGCATCTGGAGGTTGCCGCAGCACCTGCGGAACACGATCCTCCCACAGCTGCCCAAGCCTGACGGGGGACACCGGCTCATCGGCCTGAAGCCTGATGCCCTCAGGGTTTACAATGGGGCTCACAAATATCAGCAGGATCGTTGGAACCAGCAGCACAAGCGCGACTACGAGTACGCGCGCGCTGGGAAGAGCACCGAGCAGGCAGTCTGGGAGCACGCCCTACTCACTGAGGCTACGCGCGCTATGGGCAGACAGGCCGCCGCAGCGTTCATTGACCTCAAGAAGGCTTTCGAGACGATCAAGCACGATTTGCTTTGGGACTCTGCCATTCGGCATTGGTTCCCAAGACGAAGGATGGCTATTTGTTGCAGTGCTATGGTGGACGGCGATCGGTCAAGTTCGGCGCCATGATGAGCACATTCATCTACACAAATCGTGGGGTCATTGCTGGGTGCAGCTTCGCGGTGTCAGTCATTAAGTGCTTCACGCTCGACGTCTACGACAGGCTCTACTACCTTTGGCCTAGCCTGGACATCTCCCTGGTGGTGGACGACTCCACGCTCCAGTCCAGCGGCGCGGGGAAGCAGGTTGTCCAGGTCATTTCGGAGGCCACTAAAGAGGCCTGCCGCCTGTTCGAGGGCATCGCGATGATCGTCAGCGTGGACCAGGGCCAGGCGGTGGCCACAAAATAATGGATTGCGCGCAAGATCGCCGTGGCCCTCTCCTCGCGCCGTTTTCAGTGCAGGCGCACTGTTAAGCAGCTGGGCCTGGACAGGAGGATGTCGAGAGGTGGCCAGGCAGTCCAGCGGCAACGAGCACATAGGCTACGACTGTGCATTACTCGTTTTCGCAGGCTGGCCAATGGCGGCAAGTCGTTATGCCGACTCTTTCGAGCGGGAGAGATCCCAGCGATTACCTACGGCATGCGGGTCCACGGAGCGCTATATTCGCAGCTGGCGGGCCTTCGAGCTACGGCTGCTGTCTCCATCTTCGGGGCCCCGTGAGGACGTTCCAGGATTATCCAGTTCATGCTGTCCAACGACACCAAGAGCGACCCAACGTATGATGCCAACGCCCTCCCGCTGGTGACGTGGCTCATTGCCATGTGGAAGGGTTGGGCAACTCTAGATCAAATGAAGCTTGCATTCAGGTTTGGGAGTTCAACGTCTGGCAAGTGGGGCGCCGTCATCGGACCAGCTGGCGCAGTTCTGGCCACTCTGCGAAGGCTTGGCTGGACGGCACAAGCCTGGGACAAGCGGGCGATACCGCAAATGACCATAGCCACAGATGATGCAAGGGTTGGCCCCTTGCACGGCCCCGGCATTACCATTAACCTCCAGGAGATGGGAGGCTTCGAGGTATTCCGCTCTTGGAGCCTGCTGCCCAACTGGCTCATGAGCTTAGGCGGCAAGGCGATCATCGCGGAGCTGGCCTCATCAGGACGTGGCTCGCGGGCGGCTTCTGGACCCAGGAGCAGCTCTACCAGCACGGCGCCGCCGTCTCCCCGCTGTGCGTTGCATGCCGGCAGGAAGAGGGAACGCCACCGCACCGCATCTACCGCTGCCTTTTCCATGCGGCTGAACGGCAAGACTGGTGCGGTGATGAGCGTCGCCTGCTGGTTCACGGCTGGCGGGAATTCGGGCCGAGGCACCCGATGACGCACGTTACTTGTCGTGGCCTGTTTCCCGATACAACCTTCTATTCACGATGCGGGTGCCCTCCACCACATCATCATGAACGACTGATTTGGGAGCGTGTCCCTCCTGGTGGACTGTCCCAAGAGTTGGTTTGCGTCGATGGCTCAGGGCGGCATGCCATGCATCCGCGCCTAGCGCGAACAGGCTGGGCAGTTGTTGTGGTCGACTCGCGCGGCAACATGCTCGGTGCACTGTATGGCCCTGTGCGGTTTCCTTGGGCTTGCTCGGGTTCGGGCGAATTGTGGGCAGCAATCTTCGCCCTGAAGTTCAAGGGGCCTGAGCCGATCGTCATCGTCACGGACTGCCTCGAGCTCAGGAAAGCCTGGGAGCGGAGGGACAACTGGGACTCCACTACAGACAACCATCTGGGGGAGCTGTGGCGGAAGGTTTGGAGGCTTGTGGACGAGATCGGGGTCGACGACATCACCGTCGAGTAGACCCCAAACCACAAAAGCGACAACCAGAGGCTCATGGCGGGGGTGCCCTTCGCTTGGTGGAATGGGAACCGCTACGCGGACAGCGCCCTCATGCACCCAAAGAACGTGCTGTCTGAGACTTTGAGGAAGGCGCGCGGCGCGCGAGCTGTCTTCTACTTTTACGCTTCGAATGGCGTTGCGGATATTGCGGCGCTGCTCTTCAGCTAATTGGCCAGATGCCGATCCCATCCCTGCTCCTGAGGCTCCGATGCGTATCAGGCAATGCCTTGACACGCGAGGGCATTGCCTCAGGAAGCGGGGGGCTGTCTGGTACTGCGACCTATGCGGTCGCAACCGTCGCACGCGCAGAAGGGTTTTGGCCTAGCCCTGTCTAGGGGCCCCCCTTGGCGTGCGTGCCGCGCATTTGTCCCATGACCTTCGGTGCACCAACGATATGGTTTGGTGCGCCACGTGCGCTGCCAGGTGCGAGACCCGAGTGCACCTCATCGCCAGCGAATGCGTGGGGCGTCCTCCCCCAGGCTGCAGCAAGTACTACAGACGTTGGTAGCTGCTGCAAAAGAACGGGGCCCAACGGCGAGCGGACAGGGGACGGCACAACTGGCCCATTTCCGCTGCGCCGTCCGAGGCAAGCTTAGGAGCCGCGTGCCTGTGCTCTGGCCGAAAGGGTGAGCACGGCGCGTCAGCTTCCTCACGACATCCTGCCCGCGGCCCGCTCTTCCCTGGGGCCGCGGACGAGTCCAACACAGAGAAAAAAAGGAAACTCCGTACAAAACGTTCGTTTTGTGCGGAATTTCCCCTCTCCCCCGTTCTGGGCTCCGTTCGTAGCCCTGGGGCGCGTGCCCGGGCGGATGGGTCGGCGCTGGCCCCGGGGGGGGTGGCCAGCGCCGACCCGTGGGAGGTAGCTAAGCTACTTCTTCCTGATCGCTCGTTTCCCGTAGCGGATTCTGTCCCCGCGCGTGCACGGAGCCAGTTGTCATCAGCCTTTAGGCCTTGAAGCCTCCATCTCCTCCTCCTCCTCCTCCTCCTCCTACCCCGTTTTGCCGTCCGCCCTGCCCTCCAGCAGGGGGTCCTCAGAGCCTGGAGCCGCCTCGGGCCCGAGCGCGCGGTCGAGCTCCGCGGCGTCCGCGTCGGGCGCGGGCGCCCTGCCTCGGACGCGGCTTCCTCCTCCTCCTCCTCCTCCTCCTCCTCCTCCTCCGACTATTCCTATTCCTCCTCCTCCTCCTCCTCCTCCTCCTCCTCCTCAACCTCCTCCTCATCAACCTTCTCCTCCTCCTCGCCTCCTCCGCCTACTCATCCTCATCATTCTTCTCTTCCTCCTCCTTCTCCTCCTCCTCCTCCTCCTCCTCCTCCTCGCCTCCTCCTCGCCTCCTCCTCCTCCTCCTCCTCCTCCTCCTCCTCCTCCTCCTCCTCCTCCTCCTCCTCCTCCTCCTCCGCCTCCTCCTCACCGCCCTTCAAAGAGGGCGGCTCCCCCGGGGCTGGCCCCAGAATTTCCCCGAACTTCGGGTAACAAGCGGATGCCCATGCCAGGGGGTGAAATGGGCACCCGCTTGTTACCCGAAATTCAGAAGGAAGCCCCCAAGATGCTCCCCAGAGGCTCAAAAATTCTTCCCCAGAGGCCCCCGAGAGCCTTCCGAAGAACCCCCAGACAGCATCCCTGAGGACTCTGGCCCTCGTCAGCGTCGTCACCGTCGCGCCGCCGCCGCCGCCGTTGTCGTCGGCGTCGTCGTTCCCCTTCAGGGTCGGCGGCACCAGCCGTAAGGCCTTCGCAGTCGTTGCCATATGAGGAGGAGTCATTGGAAACTACATCGAAAGCTGAAGCGCAGAAGGGCAAGATCCAGAACAAGGAGAGCCTTGCAACGAAGGACACCGTGGCCACTTGCACCGCCGATGTCAGTCACAGTGGTTACGGAGTTGGAGGCGCCCACAATCAAGGTCCTGGCGACAACACGGTACCCCAGGTCGAGTTCACCGGACTCAAAGTGCAGAAGATCTGATACACTCGGCAGGTTGAGTTCGTCGACAAAGCAGTGGAGGTACCGACCCAGATCAAGGCTGAGGTGCCGTTGGTCCAGATGGCGCTTAAGACCGAGTTCGACAACGACGAGAACATCAGTTGCAAGCTCAAAACTATTGGGCGTTCGCGAGTCTCGTAGCGCAGCAGGTTCTCCAGGAGGAGATCGACATCCCCTTTTGTCAACGCGTGCGGTGGCCTTGCAGCCGGAAGCGAAGGATTGGATACCTGCAGTCTTTATTGCCAGAAGCTTCTGTGCCCTCCCTAAGCCCCTCCCCCGCTGGCCAGGCTTTAGCCGAGCATACGACTGGAAATGGAGGGCGGCGATAGATGAGCGGTGGGAGGAACCGGTGAAGATAGCCAACGCCGAGTTCCATGAACATTTGGGCCCTCTCAGGCACGATACGATTCCAAGCCAACGTTGTGGCATGAACATCCCAAGCGTTCCTCCTCACCATTGTTCGGCCCTTCTTCTGCCGCCTCTGCGTACACCGTGTCGGGCAGGCAAGCTGCGTACCTCGGGAAGGGGACGGCAGAATAGGGTGGGCTCGGAGACCGATATCCACCAGCTGCCAGCTGCCTGCACGCCACCTTGTTCGGTCTCAACATCTGGGGGGGAGGCATTCCAGCGGTTTGAGGGCATCCACTGCCAGCAACCTCCGGAGCAAGGCCGATAAGAACCGACCCATTTTAAAGCTGGCAACAGGCCCACTAAGCAAAGATCAGGGGACTTGCTGGTCGTAGCGGCTTCAACAGTAAACACCCATTCTCCTTGTCCTGCCCCCTCCCTTCCTCCCTCTTACGACCATGATTAATCATGACACATGTCACGCCACCGAGCACACCAACGTACACCAGCGACTCCTCCTCCTCCTCCTCCTCCTCCTCCTCCTCGTTTCTCCTTCCCTCCTCCCCTTCCTCGCCCGCCTCCTTCCCTCCTCCTCCTCCTCCTCCTCCTTCACATCCACCTCGTCCTCGTCGTCCTCGTCCTCGTACTCGTCATCCCCAAGGGCCACAACATCTCTGCTCTACTGAGTGGGCGGAAACACCAGAAAAGGTTAGCAAGGATCTCCTCTTTCTCCTGGCGCATATGCGACAGGGAAATCTTGGCTTCCTCCAGGCGGCTTCCTTTGGCAACAACTTCGTGCCAATGAGGAGCCTGCTTGACCGGGGAACCTGAGACTGCCGAGAGTGAATCTAAGAGCCGACTGCACCAATTGTGCTTCCAAGGCCTGGCGCCTGGACTCAAACGGGATCTGGGCAACCCTGGCTCACTCCTTGGCAGCCTTGCCTGCTAAGCGATCCGCCTGCCAATGAACATAATCAAAACCTTGAGTGATGGCCGCATCTAAGACACATGAGAGTGAATCATGTGCACAATCATCGGCCTACTAGCAACCGAAGCTCAGACATCTCGCCGTGTCGCTTGTTCTTAAACCTGGGACCGACGCGGACCCCTCTGACAATACAGCTGATATCTATGACACAGACTGTGGGTCCAGTGGTCAACTGGACCGCCCTGATCATCGCAAACAGTTCTGCTGCTGGGACCGTCTGCAGGTCACAAATGAGGGGTCCAGCCCCCAGGCTAGGTGCTGGCCCCCTCGGAGGACCTCAAAGCCCAAACCACAATGCCTTAGCCGAAGGTCGGAACCTCCCTGCCCCCAGTCACGTCCGACCCGATCACACGCCCCAAATCAAGAGGGCAACAATCTACGGGGAACTGGGGGCCGAGTCGCTCCGCACCCTGAATCGGAACGCGCGCCTACTCATATGATCAAACCAAAGACGAGGATCCTCGAAGACAAACGGACGGGGCTTCAACTGGCTCCGTCTGCGCACAATCTCGAAGCTCAGCGCGGAAACCTGTAATCTGATCATTGTGAGGCCAGGACGAGAGCTGGTGGAGTAGGGTTTCCTGAGGGGCTCCACACTTGGGACAGCTGGGTGAGGTCCAGACTTGGTTGGCCCCCAAGCGGGCTCCTCATCACAACAACCACGCTCAACAGATGTTTGCTCCTGCTCTTCTGCTGCGCGGGCTGACTCTTCCAACATCCTGTCAAAATCAAAGTCGTTCCCTTCACCTAGCGGGAGACGCGGGGGAGGGGGAGGCGGTTGTTCAGGCGTGGGCCTTGGGTCCTCAGGTGCCTCAGTGAGCCTCGGAGGCGGGCGTCTGGTCTCATCCCCGAAGCGCCTGGAGGCCGACCACAGAACACCCGAACTGATCAGTTCTAAACCTCTGCCGCTTGGTCGTACGCTCCTAGGTCTCGCACTTTATTCAACTTCTTAAACAAAGAACAGCCATGTCAACTCGGTGTGTCAAACTGCTGCCGTGATAGTGCCCACTGGCCTTCCCCCAAGCCCGCACATCAAACGCCTCTAGGAAGCCAAGGGTGTGGCGCTCTGGGTCGCAAGCCAGAACGTGTAATACTTAATCACCTGGTGCTATCCAGGTGGCTGGCTTCTCTAAGGGGTCTACTCCGCTTCCAAACGACAAACAACAATGGCAACACCAACACCGTGATCTCGCTTCCAGCGTGTGTGTGGTTTCTGCCGTCGCTCGGGAGCCCGCCCCGCATGATGCGGAGGCCGTGCCCACTCGACTGCTGCAAGGACGAAAGTCGGTGAATCCACTCCTTGAGCACCCGCACACGTGTTGAGAACTTGGTGTCATGGCGGGGGCACTGGAGCGCACAACGCAGCACAACCTTAGCGCAATCCCCTATCCGTTCTCCATGTTTCCCCCCCCCACCATGCCAGTCATGGCCGCCGTAGCCTTCAAGGCCAAGGTCGGACTTGCACCCTGGGCCTTCAACCCCAAAAAGGCCTGCGGTAGCCAGCCTGTGCGGACTAAGCCTTTACTCGTACGGTCAGTCTGAACGACTCGCTCGATCATGCTCGCTCGGTGGGTGGCCGAATGAAAACATTACATGGGAACCCCAACAGAACGCGAGGACCGTCTCCTCCTCCTCCTCCTCCTCCTCCTCCT